AGATGGTCCTTGAGTACTCCCTGTTTTCTAGTACTCTAAGATGGTCCAGACACAGCTTGTGTTCTCTATCTCAGCTCTAAAATCAGCCACATGTCCAAGGCACCCTGGCATCTGTTATTGAGAATGGATTTTAGAAATCAGTATCTGGCTGGATGTGGTGGTGCACACAGCACTCAGGAGGCAGAGGCAGGTGGATCTGTGAGTTTGAGGCCAGCAAGTTCCAGGACAGCCAGAGCTACACAGAGAAACCCTGTCTCGGAAAGAGAGGGCGTGGGAGGGAGAGAGGGAGGGAGACCAGGTGCCTTTTGACAGAGAGGAGACGGGAAAAGACACACCTCACCTCTAGCATGATGGCCCGTGGGAGGAGGGGCCACTCCAGACCTCCCCAAGTAAAGACCTCGCCGGAGACCTGTGGTTTGAAGTTGAGTAGAATTCTCCAGATGGAAGTCAGGGTTAAGGGAGCAGTGGAAAGAGGTGGGAGGAACATGCATTCCCACTCTGCAGACATGTAGCTTTTTAATTTGAACCAACTGTAGACTCGGGGCCCAGGCCTTGTCCTCATTTCCTGTCTTCATTACACGCAGATGAACCATTCTTAGAGCTTGCATTTCTCAGAGGGCTCTCCTTGTAAGTCTTGAGTACAGTCCCAGCCCTCTATCTATCTCCTGTCCCTCGCCCCTCCTCCTCCCCTCCCTCTCTCCATCCCTTCCTGCTGGTCCTTTCTCTCTAGTTCCTGCTGTCTGCCAAGCCGTGTGCTGGGCCAGGGAGCACAGGGGAAAACGTTCCAGTTCTTACCTGTCCAGGAGTCCTCTTGTCTAGGGTGAGATCCCAAGCCTTTCTTCCCTTCCGCCTTCCGCCAAGTGTCCACTTTCCATGGAGGGTTAGCCTCGTGTGGTACTATCAAACTGACCTGGTGTGTGGCTCTCAGCAAGTGTTTTCTGTTCACAGATAACAGTTGGTGTGTACGATCCCTGTAACCTAGCCCAGTACCCTGGATGGCCTTTGAGGAATTTTTTGGTCCTGGCAGCCCACAGATGGTATTTACATGTGTGTCCATGTCTGTGTGTCTTCATCTGTATGTTTCCATAAGGGTCTACTTATGTCAGCATCTGTCCCTAAGGGCATTGATTTCATTCCTGACATGGAACTAGAAAATAAGCCAATTAAATTAGTTGTGGTCCAGTTTCTACCCCTGGTGCTCTTAAGCAGGTCTGCTAAGGAGTCCCAGCTTCAGCCCTAGCCTGTACTATGCTGAAGTCACTTAGATCATGGTGAGGTCATAGCTGGATGCCTTGATACTGACATTTTCCAGCCCTCCCTTCCTGCTTTTAGACAGGAATTTCCTATTGCTACCACCTCCCACCTTTAAAAAACTTTCCTAATCCTTAAATAATAAAAAGGGGTATTGGGAAAAGCCAACTTACACTTAATAAGATACTCAGCATCACTGGGTATCAGGGAAATAAACCTGTAAGAGGTCAGCGGCCCCTGCCAACATCACCTAAGAAAGTGACCATGCTTGTATAGTGGAAATGGGAGGCAGCAAAATTCACAAAAGATGCTGCAACACTTGTGGTAGGATCTGCTGGAGGTAAAAACACCCACGGCTCTGTGGTGGTGTTCTGAGCTTGTTGCTCACAGTGGTACAGGCTGGATGCAAGCAGACACACACACACACACACACACGCACATGCACAAACTCATGCATACACACACATGCACTCACACACACACACACAGGCACAGACACATGCACAAACTCATGCATACACACACATACACACACACACACACACACACACACACACACAGGCACATGCACACACACACAGGCACATGCACACATACAGTGTATAGCAGCACTGTGGTTACTAGGCCCAGCCTCATGCCCTTCCGTTCCAAATGGATGGCAGAGGCCTGGGAGGCACCTCATAGCAGGTGTCCTATCTGAGTGTGTCTTCATGCACGGCTTCTCTTGCTTTTTTTTTTAAGGCTTATTTTTATTTCATGTGTATTGAGTATTTTGCCCATGTATGTATGTGCACCACATTTGTGCCTTTTTTTTTTTTTTAAGACAGAGTCTTACTGTGTAGCTCTGGTGACCTGGAACTCACAGAGATGTGCCTGGCTCTGCCTTCTGAGTGCTAGAACTAAAGGTGTTCACCAGCACAATCAGCTATAGATGGCTTTTCAAACACAGTGTTTAGTGAATTTAGCCAGCCTGAAAGAATACATGTCATGATTCCATTTATGTAGTTCACATCAGGCAAAGTCACTGTGAGGACCTAGGAGGGGGTGCTCCAGATAGGTGTGGTCAAGCTTAGAGGGATTGTGTGATTTTCTCTATGCTTGTTTTACTTAAGTAAAAATGTTTACTCCAAAATATAAACATAGACAAATATTGACAGACCCTGGAGAGACTGGTTATTCATGCACTCAGGGAGTCCCAGCTCATTTGCTGTGTGTCTCCTGGCTACTGGCACAGGGCCTCAGGGGTCCCATGTTAAGATCTTGGGAGCATCCCACCCCAGATTTAAAAGCTTCTTCCTTTGTCAGAACTCTCTGTCTGCTGTGTGATTGCCCTAGAAAAGTTCACCTAGGGGGGGAAAAATCCCAGCTAAATTGGCAGCCAGACTCTAAATGCACAGACAGAGGGTGCCTGCACGAATGTGCTCAAAATCTCTACAAGGTTAAGAAGGTCAGACAGGCATGATTGCATGCCCTGGATTCTCTGCAGCTGGCCTGGAAAGCACTTACGCCAGCTCTTTTTCTTCTCCTTTCTTAATCAAATGAAATAAACACAAATCCGGTGGGGGCAACAGGAGCGGCAGTTTCCAGTCCGTTGAAGTCCTCTGCTTTCGTGACCGCACCATGCAGGGGGCGAGAGATGTGGCACACAGCATCATCTTCGAGGTGAAACTTCCAGAAATGGCATTTAGCCCAGGTAATTGGCAAGTCTTTGCCAATGTGTATAATGAGTGACCAGAGACCCTGCTTCCAGCCTCACAATGGCCCAAGAGAAGGCACAGCTCCCCTCGCAGGCAGTGTGAGAGCCTCCCCGGAGCAGAGGGCAACTGTGGTCAGCCCTGAGCAGAGGCTCAGTTTGCTGGCAGCTTCTCCAGTGGACTTTTCCAGTCTGGGAGGTGTTTCTCCAGCTTTATGTTTATTTGTTTAGTTTTTGATCAACATGAAATCTTTATCCATGCCTCTTCCTCGAGGAAGTTAATTAATTAACGTGTTTATTCATTGAGTACTTGAAGGTGTGTGTAACGCTGTTCTCCATAAGGGGTATCAGTCAGCAAAGGCACATTTCTCCTTCCACTTCTAATGTCTTCTCTCCCCCTTGCGTGGCAGGTGTTAGCATTTATCCATGTTTTGTAGATTAGAAAACAGTCTGAGAGGCATTTACAAATAGTGCTAGATGTGTCTGTCTGTGTGCAAATTTATACAAAGTGTATGTGCAGACATGCAATGCATACACACTCAAGGTAGAATTCATGTGCAAGTCTGAGTGAATGGGGAAAATGCCCACACCACAAAGTACTGTGTGTGAAGTGTGTGTCCTGTGAGAAAGCTGAGTAGTTAGTGTCCAGCCCATGATGCTGTTCATTCGGGGGTCTATTAAGCTTACTGTCCACACTATCACTTCATAGTTCTTCCCAGATGAATCCCCTACATCCATGTGATGCACATCTGCAGAGCAGCTCCATGTAGACTACACAGTTTTCTTCAGTGCACTGGTGTGCCTTGGTGTGTGGGTATCAGGTGGTGGCATGCCTCATCTCTTCCCAAGTGCTGAAGTCAGAAGGACTCATGATCGCCCCATTTCTTGTTGACTCTGTACTCCAGCCTGGAGATTTTAAATACAACAGGAGAAGTGAACGCAGAAACTTCTGCATGGTCCAGGGAGGAAGCCACGCCTTTCAGAGGCTTTCTGATTAGCGTTTGGCTTGGCGCCCTCTTCTGGTGCATCCTGAAATAGCTCCTGGCACGCTCCCTTAAGATGCACTGACTTCCCTTTATTAAGTTGCAACTCAAAAATAGAGTATGCAGAGAGTCACTAAAAAGTGAAGCCAAGAAGATGCAGCCACCAGACCCCTTTCCCATGCTCCTAATTTTATTCTGTGGGGACACATTGTCTTCCTGTGTCTGCACTGAGCCACTCTGTTCCCTTCTCTGGTGTGGCTCATGCTTTTCAATACCAGGCCTGCTCTTCATTCCCAACTGATGAAGGCTTGTACATCTCCACCTTTTTCATGTTCTTTGTTGAAGAGTGATTACCCATCTTAGAAGGGGCGCTTTCCTTCTGTTTTACATATAAATTCGTGTTTCCACTTAGCTGCAAATAAAGCTGTATAATAAACATTATGAAGACTTACTTAGCATCATGATGTGAGCCCAAGGCGTTTCCATAGCCACACTCTTCAGTGTAGCCATGTGTGACATAACAACATCCACCACATAGCACGGTGGTCCCTTAAGAGTCTGTTGCCTAGGGATCTCATGACCACTTAATTTGTATAAGTACACTCTGTGGTCTTTTCAGAGCGGGTCAGTCAGCAGCCTGTTATTTCTCCAAATTCCCCCATCATTAAGCGACACGTGGCTCTCTAAGGCATCCCACAGTTGGAACAGCAGTGATGTGAGAAGTGGTAAAGCCTCCATGGTAGGCAGAAAGCTGTTGTGGACACTGGCTGAAGCAGGTGTGGCCACTGCTGGGGTGAGCTGCAATCCAGCTTCCCCTGCCCCTGCGCTCTGCCTGGTTCCCAGCTGGAGTGGACACCGTCTCATTCCCAACACGTTCTTCCTTTGTTGGGACTGTGTGTTATGAGGATGGCTTATATAGAAGCAGATGTGTAGCTGGGCGGTGGTGG